TAAGCCTCTGAGAAATTACTATAGTACTACAAATCAAAGTCTAAAATCCGTAAATTTAAATCTTAAGTAATGGAGGATTAGTCCAAGTGGTTTCATCTTTGTGGTGGAAACACTGAAAAAAGATTATTGCAAGTTCGGAGATTGTTCGGCCTATTGCAGAGAGAGTAAATTGTTTTCAGCCGATTTTCATTTTCATGGGATTTTCAATTTCGAGGCTCCAGGAACGAGGTTGAAACGGGCGCAGTCAAAGGACGCAAGTCCCACCTGCATGGATTCAGACATATATATTTGATATTATTGTGGCGCCAAGTATATCTCCCTTGGTCCAGTGAAGGTTTGCAGAAATTAAGAACATGATGGAGGATTTCTTGGTTTACACAGGAAGGGCATTTATCTGAAATCATTTTACCCTTGAGGGTATTTCAAAGGGCATTGGAGAGATATTTAAGAATGCCTAACGTGTGATTGTAAGAAGAGATAAATTTCCAGTGAATGGATTGGTCTTCAAGAGACACAAGTTCATAAAACCTTCCCTGGACCAAGAGGGTCTTGACGTGGTTGCCCCAACATTTCTGAATCTCCGCCTTGAGGGTTTTTACCTTGGCCTTTACTTTGTGGAGGAGTAAGTTATGGTGTTCGGTTAAGGCATTTTTGGTAAAAACTTTCCAAGTTGGTTGGTAAAGGAGCGATCTTCTTTAAAAGAGAGTCATCTTAGCTGTTTCTTATAGCTTGGTAAAAATTAAATCCTTAATTCTCTTGTGATTAGGTTCTGTTGTACAGCAGGGGTCCCAAGTTGAAGAGCTTCATTTTCAGGAGATTTTGTCTGGAACCTTTGGTCGCCTGCAAAGTCGCCATCCATTTCCAAATCTCAGAACTGAATATAGAACGTATGATTTTTTTTATCACAGTCAGATAAAGCTGTTCAAAAAGAAGTCGACATACCTTTAAATATCTTTCAACATCGGCCATTTGACCGTTCTTCACAGATATTACAGCATAACCAACAACATGGACTTCCATGCTTTAAAACAGTATACTTTTTCCAGAGTTGAGTTCGTTGTCCTCGATGGTACGCCACCATTGGCGAACGTACTTCTTGAATTGTGAATTAAAAGCACATAAATTTTGCGTTTCTTCGCTGGAGCCATATGTTTACTTATTATTTTCGACTATTAATTAATAATTGTGTGATTGTTTTTATGAAACAGCTCAATAAAATTAACTTTATGCAAAAAGTAGCTGTAGGCCTGCTCTACTTGTCAAAGAGCGTGTTGTTTACAGGGTTGTTTAGATATCAAGTCACACTGCAGGCATGGTCTCAGGCCGAGCGTCGGATGGATGGGCGCATCAACTGTTTTTAATAAACAAAGTGTATTGTGATTTCGTATTTTCAGCAGCTACCGTAATTAATTGCAAATGCATTATAAACAGTGATGGTATAGGGAGTGGAATAAACTTATTTGTAATTGTTTACTATTTTTTTTTAACATCACATCCTGAGTTATGTTTTTATCTAGGCCTAGGCTGAGCTGATATTCAAAATTAAATAGCCTACTAAAATGTTCAAAAAATTACGGAAGAATTTTTGTCATGCGGTAGAAAAACGTAAACTTACGGTAGCGCGGTAGATCGTCGCTAAAAGTGGTAGACTACCGTAAGCAGTGGTTGACTTGGGACCTCTGGTACAGTAGTCTTAATAGGTGTGTTTATCTATTGAATTTATTTGTCTTTAAAATCCACTTTCCTGTATACATCGTTTTTGTCCGGAGAATGATCATTTGGGAGATTTGATGTTTATGTCTGAAAATTGATAGCTGACAATTTACGAACTTTAATTTTTTATAGATTTGGGAGTTGGAAAGCTGACCATTTGGTACCCTTTAAGTGTTATAGATCTATCTTGATAATATGAGTTGATCATTTGGGACCTGTGATATTTTATAGACATGAGGAATTGAAGAGCCAGTCATTTGGGACCCTTGATTCCTTTAGATGCATTATGACTTTATGTTGTTAGTTGGTTATCTATCCACTTATTTTGACACCTTTAGTCACTACCGCCTGGAAGAGGGATCAGGCGGGGGCCAGTGCCCTGGGCCTCAAAAAATATCGACAACGTTTATGCAAAACAATATTTTGATCTACTCTTAGTGTCTGCATTGTTTGAATTAGGAATCTGACTATATGAAACACCGGACCTTGGGAGCTTTGCCTCCCAAATTTCCAGCAGGGCTTTGATGGGCTTTGCCCCTGGACATTGGGCACCTTGGGCCAACGAGAGATCGATCCTTTTCATGAGGATTGGGAAGTGAAGAGATGATATATTATAGATCTCTTATACCCAGTAACCGATTGTCTGTACATCCCATGATGGCCATGTAGGACCCACAATGCTATATTTTAACTCTAGTGAGGAGTTAGGAGTGGAGTTTTTGATTGTAACATGGATAGATGTATTTATTCAAGGATAATCCATGTCTGAAGAAGACTTATTTCAGTGGGTTCCTTCTGGTGGTGATTGGGCAGTGCACTGGGAGACAGTCCTCTACTTTTTCTGAAGCGTGTACTGCGATGTGCACATGGGCTGTATTGCACAGAGGACCAACAGCTTAAATGTCCCATCTGAAAGATGGTGCGCTATCGTAGCTTGCATATCAGCTCCTCCAGAGGTGCTTACTGTAGCTGAAATACAAGGAGGCAACGATGGAAATAGAACCGGGGACCAAGAAATCTGCATTAGTGCTTATTTTGTCATTTACAATAAAAGTAAATGTCAAACTTGAGTTTCTGTTTGGAAACCAGTAAATCAAATCATTAATTTCACAGAGCCTTTTTATCACTATGTTTTGTTTATTGCTCACATGGCATATTTGGATTTTCACATTTAACATTTATGATGAGCAACATATATTCAAATTAATAATCATAATAATAAATGATGATGATAATGATGATAATAATAATAATGATATAATAAAAATGTGAAAACTTATATAGCACACAATCTGGCGCTGAATTTAACAATATAGATGTTAAAAGACTGCTTTGAAAGCAATTTGAAACAAAACTTCCAGAATTGAATCAGGGTTGCTCTCTCTATTTGGCCATTTAAACAGTATGTTGATATTCCACAATGTGGTATGCTGGGCTCCAATAGTTTTCACCTTTGGCCTTTGCCTCAAGCTTTACTCCTATGCACCGACGAGGCAGTAATATAGACTCAACAAAGAAAAAGGGAAAAATCTGCGAAAATAATCTATTCAAGAAAATAATAATCAAATATAAAGGCCTCTGACTCAAAAAAAGAAGAGGGTTGTTTGATTTTTTCGTCGCATCCCATTCCAGAATTTTTCTCCAGCAGAGAAAAGGCCCGCCCTCCCTACGCATTATGAGTATTATGTTTAGTAATAAGATACTGATCAACGGAATGCAAATTTGATCTGGAAGGTGCATAGACATGGATGAGCGTAGAAATGTATGTTGCCTGGGAATTGTCATTCAAGAAGACAAAACAATTAAAAATTGTTTTTGATAATTCATACTTCTGATAAAGTATGTTTCAAAATCCATAGTAAAGCAATGATTGAATTGAAGCTTAATGTTTACATTTTTACTGTGAAGCACGTACTAGAATTTATTTGTCGCGTTGGTGTTCTGTTTTTCATGCGACAGATTGGTAAAGTGATATGTCCTTGAACTAGCACATTTTAATTAATATTATAGCCACCGGCTAGCAGACTGCAGGCTACATCCAGATGCACATTTTGCCAGAGACAATAAACAGCTAAACTACAGTCATGTAACTGCAGGAAGGAAGAGTCTTCATCAAATCTCCACTCCTCAATACAAACCCACTATAAGATTATAAGGAGACAGAATTCAACAGTATAGCCAGGGCTAGAAAAAGTGTGGAACTGCGCAGCCGGTGGTTAGAGGCAGCATTAATGTACCGGAGGCATTTTGGGGGGAATAATTAAAAGGGAAAAAAAACTGTTGGGCTCTATAGTATACAGATAACATTTGGTGCTGGAGGAATTTTATTGAGATAATTGTTGTGGTCAGAGGCCTAGCATACAGTAGTAAGCAACATAATTTCATTAAAATAAAAATCAAAAGAATGGGGCCATTTTTTCCTGTAAATTGGACCATTTTACCTGGAGCCATTTCCACTGGTGAATTATCTTTTACTATGGCGTTTTTTTTTTGTTTTTTTTTTTAGGGAAATTCTGCCACATAACTTTCACCATCATAACACACATTCAATACTACTTAAATATTTTGCAACCATGTGATCAAAGGAATTAAGTTTTGGCCAGTTGCATCTTAATTCAAGTTTTCACATCTTAATCCACATTATTTTCCGAAGCTCGCAGCATAAATTCTGGATAACCTGACCCTATGGGAATAAAAATCAATGAATGATATCATAGCTAGATAATTCGATTACTACGCTATTTGGTAATGTTTGGAATTTAATTCCCGTTCATTTGTACAGTATTCCAATTAACTTACGAACTGTACATCGAACGATGCCAGTGATTTCAGTCTTTAGCTTGCCAAAGGAGAATTATTAGATAAGGAAGATACCCACTGGTAAAAAATTGCCTCAGATCTTCAGATGAATTTTGTTTATGTAGGTACATTTGGTCATGAATCATTCTTATTTGTGTATTGTGATTCGTCAGTAATCTGTTAATATTGGTATGATGGACTGATTTATTATTACTGTACTCAAGTTCTCATATTGGATCCCAATGTAATGTATTTCTATCTATTCTTGGAATCTGTCTTATGTGTTGAAAATTATTATTATCATAGACACATTCCTCGTGAATTTGATTAAAGTTCTATCAGTGTGTTTTATTCAACAACATTGTTAGAGATTGTCTTTAATAAAAGCTGACATAGAGATGCTTTCTCACAATACAAAAACATAATACTTGTATTAATGTAGTATACAAATTTGTTTTTCTTTTCCTTTCATCTACATGTACAGGAGGGTGATGGTGATTGGTTGTCGCTTGATCGGGAAGTAGAAATGAAAAATGGTCACATCACAGGAACAAGCAACCCGACCGGTCACAACGTTCTAATTGATGCTCGGTTTGAATTGCCTACAGGTACAGTACTGTATATTTGACATTTTGTTAGTAATGATAACATTTTATAGCATATTGTACCCTTTAAGATTTGAACCCAAGACCATTTGTTTAGATTACAAGGTAAGCTAATTGCATCAAATAATAATAATAATAATAATAAGATTTATTAAGCGCACATCTCCACAAGTTGTGATTATGCAGGTAAATTAGAGTAAATTAATTAAAACATACTGTACTTGAAATTTCGATGAAAGAGGACAGTCCTGAAGTGAATTGTTGCCGTTTTTAGAATATTGACTTGTACTACTGCAGTAGTACTATAGTAATTCTATCAAAAGGTCTCCCGTTTTCCGGTGTGTCGCCTAACTGTCAACACCCTTGTGCCTTGTTATGTTTTCTGGTTTTATTAAATTTCGTATTCACAGCTACCTATTGTAAAAATACCCAACTTCCTGTTTGAAAGAAAATGTCTGATCGATAGTTACCACGTGTTAGAAATGTATTGAAAAATAACATTTTAGTTTTAATAAAAATGATTTATAAGTGAGACAGCACTGCCGATAACGAGCAAAAGCAATCAAGACCACTTTGTCCTGGATGGCGTGCATCTCCGTCTCAAATCTATGTGACAATCGTTATGGTTAATGTTTATATATTTTTATATAAAGAGATCTATAGTAAATATATTTTTTTTAAATTTTTTAATATAATTTAGTAATTAAGAATTTACGTGCCATACATCAATTCAGTAATATTTCATTAAGAATTCATAATATTTGTATTGTATTCAAATGAGTAAACTACTATTGCAACATCATGAAATGATAGAATTCTAATTAATTCTTTGATCTACATATCTTATTAAGGAGAAGTATGGGTGGGTGCGTGCTTGCTAGGGTGCTAAAGAAAATGTAAGGTCCCTGCGCAAGGCAACAGAATTACTTCCCAAAGGACATTCATTGTATAATTAATGTCTCGACTCCGTTTATTCAGCAATAAGCATAGTGAATACTTTAGACGTATTAGGTAGAAATGCTAAATAAAAACAATTCAACGTACATTTTTCCAGGTTATATTAATTCTATTATTGTTTTATTTTGTGGAAGTGCATTTTTTTTATGTTCTACGATTTAAAGTAGCAACATATAATTCTTTTATTATATTATAATTGTAATATTATTTCAAGTATTTGTTATGTTTTCATATTTTCTTATTTGCCATATTTAGGTAAAACATCTGCAGACGAATCTAAAGGTACTCGCTATTATGCAGTTTAATTTTATTATTTTATCAATTTATTTATATCTATATGTGATACTATCTGTTAACTACTATATCAATACTTTATTGGTTTAACATACTATGGTGGTGGAAAAGTTACTCTACAGTCAATTTATTTGCATATATACTAATTATTGTCTTATTATTTTTATATTCCTTTATATTTTGTTAAATCTGTTAAATTTTGTTTAATAACTATTAAAAAAAATTAAAATAGAAATAGTTTTGTATGTTTTAATCCATTTACATTTTAAACAATAAAGTTTTACTGGTGGTATGTTATTTTTTTCATCTTATATATAACTATCATGTTTTATTTGATAAAATAATTTCATATTGATTTTCAAATTATAACTAATTCTTCAATAATAAAATCATATGAATTTGCTATGAAAACAATATAAGGTATGTAAGTTTACATAGGCAGTGGTCATGACAAATGATGGTGTAATTTTTGTGTGTATTTATATATTAGACTGATAAAGAACAATTAAATTGAAGTTGCAAAATGATATGGTTGAATTATTGAGGAATCTTGATGTGGTTTATATGTATGTTTTAATTGCTTTGTATTGGTTTATATAAATCTGTTTTCAAGTAATTTTTTTCCGACTTTTGGAGTACTGTAATTCATATGGTATTTTTTCTTTTCAAGTCAAAACTAGCTTTGACTGCAGTATGTGTTATTTTTTAGCTGTTCAAAATAATACTACTGATAGAGGCAAGTATGATAGGTGACAGTGGTATAGGGGTCTGTAAGGTAGGGGTTAGTACAAGAGGAACTAGTAAGGTACAGTAGGGACCATGTAGAAATAATTATGTTAAATGCGGGCCTTGCTTGCAGGATATGGTGCAACGAGACTGGCGTAGCAGGATACGGCCGGTGAGATGGTACACATGTCAATGGAGTGCAAGCATGAGAAACAGCAGGATGACTATCACAAGGCACCTGTTTGCATAAAATTATTTTTCGGTGGTGGTTAGTGATTTCTGTACTGCAAGGTGTTTTTATTTCATAAAAGCTGTGATGTATTGAAGATAACCAACTTCATTCATTCAATTCAATACAAACTGTGTATTCAATTGGCCACTGACCTGACAACATTCATCAATCAAAATTATAGATCTAATGGTTGACTAATATCCAAACAAATCAAATTATTCTCTAATTTAAATACTTTATTGCTCAGATTGCCAATGTCCAGTTTAATTACCATATCACAAATGTCAAAATCAACTGTAATTTTAGGTCCATCGATGTATTAATATTAGCATAATCATTTAATCCCATGGCGGTATCTGGATAAACCCCTAAAAGATGTAACTAAATATCAAAAAATAAACTTGTTTGAACAAAGAATATCCTAATATATAATCCCACACCTCAAGTCCCCTAATATAAATATAAAAAAATATATATATTAAAAAAAAATAATTTGACTCTACTGAGACTTGTACCAGAGCTGCAATGGTTTTGGTTAGGGAGATGTGTAAATTTCTAACCATATAGCTATACAACCCAACCCTGCTGAGGTCTGTGCATTTTTAGTTTTCAACTTAGTGTAATTCCACAGGTTAAAAGCGCAAATAGTTCACGCATTGCACGGTAATTTTGCGTTTAAACCAGCTGGAGCTAGTTGAAATGCTTTAAAAAATGCACATTTTGATAAAAGACTATTCCCTATGTATTGAAATTCAAAATATGTAGAATGACATCATATTTCATTATGCACATCTTTAATATATATGCTTTGACAAAGTTTGAAGAAGATCCAAGCACGGGAAGTGACCATAAAAATTTCCGGACAGAAAAACCCTGTGCAAAAAGATAGGAATTTGGGATAGAAGAAAAAAAATCGGAAAGTAATTAATTTAAACAATTTGAAAAGTAATGCGGGAAATGTTAATAATTACTTTTCAAATTTTGTTTATATTTATACAAAGAACTGTACTCTACAGGATGTCTTAAATATATTCTGTTTCCTTAGTTATGGCATTGTGTAGAGTTTCATAGAGTGTGGCTGCATATCTACCAAAAAGTATGATTGATGAAGAAGAATGAATGTATTGTCCACATGAGGATTTGAACCAAACACCTTCTGATTATATGTTTTATGTACCACTGACAAGTGGTGACATACCAAGTTTGTCATGTGACAAAGAGATCATTTACATCCTTTATTCCACCCCTTTCATTTCAACCTTTACAGTTCTAGAATGATATATTTTCACTTTTTATTGAACAGGTCACTGAGGCTCTTAATGCCCATTTCCATAATTTCTAATTTGTATTCATTTTAGATATTGTGGAAATTTTTTTTCCTAGTAATTAATTACAGTTAATCAATTTCACTGACAAATTGCTGAAATTAAATTATGATAATGTTGTAATTTATTTTTATACGACAATCTCTCCACAAAAATTGGGTATTTTCTATGGATGCTTTTTATATTGAAATTACTGCTTCCAGTGCCTCCATATCAAATCAAGAAGACAATTTACAATTTATAAAAACAAAAACTATCCACAATTCATTTCAACAATGATTGAAGTAAAAATCAAACAACAATCACAATTTTAGTTTCTTTTGAATTGACATATTAATATTTTTAATTAAAATGGAAAGAAATATATTATCTGTATCTTCTTCATGCAAATAATTATTTTTAAAATTGCATTATTGCTTGGTGGTGATGCATAGTATTGTAAGTATAGGTGTAAGTTCTGTTGAAGTGACATAATTTGTCTCATGACCAAAACAAATCTTTTCTTTCTTTTTTTGTGGCGAGTTGAATGGCTGAGCAGTTAAGGCCTATGCCCCACAACATGCAGTCATAATATCGGTGCTTGTTCGAACAGAACACTTGTCTATGGTTCTTGTGGTGAAACAAGACTTCTCTGATAAGGACTATAAATGGCTTGTGTGCATTTTAAAGAACCCAGTACATCATTTAAGAACAGAACACTTGTCTATGGTTCTTGTGGTGAAACAAGACTTCTCTGATAAGGACTATAAATGGCTCGTGTGCATTTTAAAGAACCCAGTACATCATTTAAGACAAATAGGCAGTTTAAGCCTCTTTAAAAATGTATGCATTGAGGGATTATGTAAAGCATTATGTGTACCATATATGCTTTGATTTAAAGGGAACATATACTGCTTATTCAAAACAGTTTAGTGTTAACAAACCTTTGCTTAATGAGATCATAAGATAAATACAAATAAGTAAAAACATCATACAAGGTAGATTCTTGCTTTCTATCATACACACTATGTGTACAGAATTGTGGGATAGTATCAAACGTAATTCAATATGTGTTCCTTAATTATTTTTTTTCAAAACTGGGGTGAAAATCTAAAGGGCACATTGTTCTTACTCTTAAGAATATCATAATTTTTTTCTCAAGGTTTTAGATAATATATTTAGTGCTTCTTCTGAGGTGTTTTGTGTACTCTACAAACAAACTTCAATATGCTGGTAATAATGGACGTTTGCTTAAAATTACCATTTTACCCTCTATTTTTCTTTGGTTTGTTTTTATGTATGTTGGTCTTTTAAGATATCTTTGGTTGTTACCATATTATGTTTTTTTTCCTTCTCAAATACCTCGGGAAATGGATATGTGCGTTTTAATATGTATCTCATTTAATTTTATGTATTTTTTCATTCAATTATTGATTTGTTTATTAAATTTCAGTACTAATTGAATCATTGTACTTGTCTTTCAAGATTTACAAGTACAGGAAGCAGAAGAACACCAGAATAAATATAAAGTAATTAACGACATAATGGACCAAAGTATCTCTGCTATCAAGGAACAGCCCTATAAGTCGGCTAATAGGGAATTTTCAGAGGGTATGTGATTTTTATATGTATTTTATTTGTTATTGGTTATTTATATAGTACCTTTCAGGTTACAAAGCATTTTTTTCCCTGGTCATTGGGTCCCCACGCTTAAGTGTTGCCATTGGTGCTAACAGCTACAGCCTTAACAGTTGTTCCTCGCCCATGGTTTGGTTGGTAGAATCAAGTCTTCTCGGATTAGGACTTAAAATTGAGGTCCAGTGTATACATCTGGCTCATGTGCACTTTAAAGAACCCATTGCATCTTTCAGAAGGGTAGGGGGTTACCCTGATGTTATGGTTCATTTCAGCCCCTGTCGTGGAATAATGTGAACATGTAGCTACCATGATGCGCCCCTTTATGGCTGCTAGGTAGTCACTGACCACGCCCATACACAATTCAGCACAATGACGCTGCAGGTTATGGGTTATTCTCCTAACTTTACCTTTACCTTAGCAGCAGGCAACCCACACAGGTACCTATTTGCACTCCTGGGTGGAGAGAAGCAATGCAGATATCAAAGTGCTTTGCTCAAGGACACAAGTGAAATACACAGCAAGGGATTGAAAACTCCACCTTGAGGTTAAAAAAACCAAACCGTTCCCACTGCTCCAAACCGCTTCTACTATGTACTGTACCTTAAATATCGAGGCTATCATCGATCAATTTCATACATGGGGAAAGTAGGTGGCACTGTTGTGGTGGTCTTCACCATTTGGCCTATGTCCTTGCGAAAGACAATTTGTCCACATTTTGTCTCTTCCATTTTTGTCACTCTTTCGTTCAAAGGTAACGGCTAGGATTTATGAATGCTTTATTGGACGATTGATTGATTGATTGATTGATTTTAATATTAGTACGGTCGGCTGAAGTTAGTGATATCAACTCTGTGTCAACAGAACTGTGTCGGCTCTACTTGTGTTTGCGCTAAATGGCTAAAATGCAAGTTACATTTGCGCACCATATTTTGGAAGAGACATTTAAACCCTTGGTCCCGTGTACAATTTGTGCACATTGAAAAGTGCATTACAATTTCCGGAAAAGAGCAGGGGTTGTTTCCCAGTGTACTACTGTATGTAATTTACCAAAAATGGACCCTGAGAGTGTAATCTTTGGTGTGTTTCACACCAAAACAAATTAAAAATCCAAATTCACTGGTAAATGGAAGAGGTTGCATGTTGCATTGCTGTTGTTTTTATTAAATATGTAACAGCTTCAAAATTAGAAATATTATATACATGATTTATTTTTGTAGCAGAAGACAGCGATTATACAAGTGACGTGAATTCAAGTCCATCCCACCATCACCACCATCGACATTTAGGTCGTTACTCTGATGACTATGGTGCTGCACCAGGAGGCTATTATTATGAAAGAGATCTGGTATGTTATAGGATGTAATGCACTTTCTGTCATACAACTGACTGTTGCTCACAAATAGTGGAGCTGGATAAGATCCAACCACAGACACTTTTTATATAACTGAATAAAAGAACTTTTTGTGGAAGGGCTGTGCTTGATATACATCTTGTTCCTAATTTGAGATAATATATATTATTATCTCAAATTAGGAACAAGATGTATAATTTGAGATAATAATATATATGGAACAACATACTGTATCCTAGCCTGGCTTTAACAGAGGTGCAATAACAATAATATAATTAAGGAAGTTCAGTGACAATACAAAACTATATAAACTCAAGATACATCTAATATTTGCCTTATTTCAAATCTTAAAAAAAAAAAACAAGAAATGGAATTTTACATTAAGCTTATTTACCCTTATTTTAAAAATGGATATAGTAATAATATAATAATAATAATGATAATAACTTTATTTTAAAAAGCAGAAAACCTGTATCACCATATTTGTGTTTTTCACAAGGCCGTTTTTGCAAGAAGATAAAGATGAAAGGAAAAAACTTAAATTCATACATATATACATATTGAAATACATACTGAGCAAAGAAAAGTAAAATAATAACATTAACATTATAAAGACTAAAGACTAAAAAGTGATGTCATGACAATGTAGAACAGTTTAAAGTTTTCTGTTCATTATTTAAAATATTTAATCCTCTCTATTGACAATTCAAAACTAAATGAACTCAAAATGCATCTCTTTTAGCCTGTTAACGACAACAAATATATTTTGAAAAGAGGAAGTGTATTAATATATTGGATGATTTTTACATATACACTTTATTATATTTGAGCGTTTGAAATATAATAACATTTGAGCTAAAATGAAATATAAAAAACATTTTTTCAATTGAATAATGAACAATTACTACTGTATCACCAATATTTTAATATATGCATTAATGAACATTAATAAAAAAAAAATTAAAATTATCCATAAAATTCAACTACCAAATCACAGAAATTTTAATATTAGGTTTTAACTTCCTATATACTTTCACACCCAAGTTATTCTATGATACTGTAACTAAGTTTAATTTGAGACTTGAGCAGAATTGTTTTAAAATTGTGAAAATTAAGCAAAGCATGCAGACACAAGACACGGGGATCTGAAGACAAGTTCAGCTAGCAAGCAATCTACACCTTCCAATATTTCATTTTATATTTTGTCAAATACAAATTGTTTATTGCTAGGTTATTAATTTTTCATTGCTGTATTATTTGGTATATTTCAGGCCTATGACCCCAGATATCATGACTCCGGCAGCAGAAGAAATTCAACGGAGCCACTATCCTATCTCAGCAAAGATAACTCGTCTGATCGTGGTAGGAACGATTACTACGAGAACGATTATCCGCACTCATATGACATACCTCCGTATTCAGTCAGTTATAACTCAAGTCCATATGTTGACGATGATCCTCGACAGAGCGACATGCATGGAATGGGCAGAGACTATTCTGGGTATCCGGACGATGGCGGGGACATGTATGCCAGCCAGGAGAAATGCGATAGTTATGAAAAATATCACGATCAACCGTATGACGATTTTGATGATCCTTACCCGGAGGACAGGTACCCGAAAGGTGGGTACCCGATGAGCGATTACCCTTCCCAACATCATCTACAGCATTATGATGATTACGAAGATGAACGATACCCATACTACTCGCGTGACGACATGCACTCTCAGGACATTTATGCTCGTGAAGATGAATACCAACTTAGTAGACAGCACGATGATCCACAAGTCTATGACGATCAGAACGATTACAATATAAGATATGATTGGAAGAACGAGCCAAACCCACACATGCATCAGGATAACGATGCTCTTTCCCATGTTGATTATTATAATTATGAGCGGTCAAGCCAAGATATCGCTCCTACTTACCAAAATGAAAGCTATGGTCAGGACCCTTATGCTATGGATTTGTACCCAAAGCGAATACAAGACCTGGGACTGGAGAAACAACTGCAACCGTTTTCTGACAGTCTCGGAAGTATCGAAGAACCGACGAGAAGTGATGTTGAATCTGATGGAAGCTTTAGTAAAAGTAGATTTGACAAAGGAATTATACCTGTGAATGACAGTAAACAGTCCCTTGGCACTGATAGGTATGCACTTGTTTATTCTTGATATCCTACCCCCAAAATGTCTAGAAACAGACCTTAAAAATTCAAATAAAATTCTTTAAAATTGTAATTTAAAAGAACAGTTACCAACTCGCGGTCACAGATGAAAAATGGAACAAAAAATATTTTAATGTTTTACAGAGATTTTATTACAAAAATTTTTTTACCAGAAAATTAAGGGTATAATAAATTATTCATTATTTGGTTGTCTGGTTACAAGTTGGATATAATGTTATTTTATAGTTAAAGGATAGTTGTCTGGTTGGTTTTTCATTTTTTTTTTTCTTCTGATTTGTTAACTGGCATTAAGTAGGAGTAGTTATATCGCTACTACCTGGTTAAAACACAGTGCATAGAAACAAATTCATAAGTATTGCCATTACCTGGTTATCTAGTTGCTATCTGGTAATGTACAATCTCTTGAAAAAAGTATTCAGTTAATTGTACTAAGTTCTGTAATGTTTGCTTTCATTCTTAGCCCTCGAAGTAGCCGGATGTCATCCCCAAGGGCTAGTCGCTCTGAGCTCCATCACAGCCAGGAAGATTGCCTGAGTCAAGATGCATTGGAACCTGAAGAAGATGACTTTGTTGCTAAGAGTGAAGCAATCAAGAACCAATGGAGTAAAGGAATGCATACTATTCGCAAGAGTATGCAAACTGAGGTAGGTAACAATTTATCTTGAATCATGTAAAGTGAAGAAAAGAAAGATTGTAGAGCTGTGAGAATTGAACCACTGACAGTCAAAGTACTATTGCAACACTAGGCCAGCAGAGTTAGACTGCCCTGGTGGCAATTGTTCCTCCTGAACAAACATTTTCTTTCCTCAAGGTTTGCAGACAGTACAGACATACTCATTACTAAAGCCCATGTCTACCACACTGTGGTAGAAGAAATATCCAAGAAGCTGAAAGGAAATGTCCAGTATGTTTATTAACTTAGCACTTATATATATTTGTTATAGTTTTATTTATATGTTTTATATATGTGTTTTGTAATAGTATTGTATATTATTGATCATGATTATTTTTAGCATGCTTCAAAGCTTAACTAAGATAGTGTAGTTGGATTTGAGCACGATATCAAAGTCTCTATGCACAAAAATGAGCTTGTCTAATAATATCTTATTTGTAGTACCATTATGATTGACATAGATTATATTTTTTTAACCTCATAATATAAAATAATCAGAATAAAGTATTGTTGGTTTCTGTATCAAATACAGAGCAGATTTGAGCTCATATATAAATAGCGCCCTCTATAGAGATGAAGACTGATGGCGATGAAAATGTTGGATGCCATTGCAGTATTCCACAGATACCCAATTGCCATTTACATACTGTAACAAAGATTTTTTTGAGTTGGGGAGGGGGGTAAGGTTATACCCGAGTACAAAATGCTAGTATTAATGTGGCCGCACACAAAATTGTTAGCTAGATCACCAGATTAATATTACACGGACTAGGCCTTCTTTCAGAGAGACCTTGGTTGTATTAAAAGGACTAGCTTTTTCTTTGTTTTTTTTTTACTATTTTATAACCAACCGAAATGCAACATAAGTATACGTTTATCTTAATACGGATATTAATTGTACGATGTATAAAATATATATGATGTATAAAATTTAAAATTAAACATAGGCATAAATCCAGACTTCTGAACTATTGGATAAAAATGTAATTTATGGGTATAATGAATACAGTACCTTGTGTGCAGTTTCTTGAAACAGTATTCTACAAATACTGTATAAAAATAGGCCAGTTGTATTTCTTAGTTGACTTGCACTGTAGAAAGTCGTAGTGGTTTTTACACGACTAAGTTGTCATTTGATAGTTTTTTTTTTCTATGGAAATCTGATACCAAAATATTAATAACTATGTAAATTGTCAATCACAACAATAGCGACTTGTGAAAATTCCTCAGACATGCTATGTTCAGTAGTTTCTTGACATGACTCAAAGTGACTCATTCTTATTATTATAATTATTGTCATTTGATAGTGTTTCAATGCAAATCTGATACCAAAATATTGGTAACTTGGTAAATTGTCAATTATTGCAACTTGTCATATCATTGGTTTTGTGATATGTCTCAAAATGACTCATTCTTATTAGAATTATTGATATTATATGTCTGAAGTCTATTATCATCATCACTGTTTGTTATCATCATTGGAAAACTGATTATATAAAGTTCATTAATGTATCAGTCCTCACATTTGGCAGCTTAAAATCTCTCCTTGTTGGTGGTTGTGGGAAGGGGGTCATCTGAAAGGTGGCAGTTTAATCTGTAATGTTGGTTCTTTGTATGTAAATAATTTTTTTTAAAAATAAATGACAACGGTCAAAGAGGATTGTTACAATTAGATAATTTTATATGCAAATATTTTTCCAAAGGCTCATTGTTGAATTGATTCAAGCTGTTTGAATTGTGCTTGCATTTCCAGTCTTCCAGGAACTATTAGTTTTTTCTAAAACATGTTCAACAAATCGATAGAAATGAAGAAGATCATGTTGAGGTTAGGCAAAATTTAAAGATTCACTCTGATGAATTAATTCAAGCTGTTTGAATTGTGCTTGCATTTCCAGTCTTCCAGGAACTATTAGTTTTTTCTAAAACATGTTCAACAAATCGATAGAAATGAAGAAGATCATGTTGAGGTTAGGAAAAATTTAAAGATTCACTCTGATGAATTAGTTAACACTGTTTCTTTTTCATTTTGTTGTTGATTCTCCTTTGTGACCATTACCCATCAACAGGAGACTGCCAACTTTGAGCACCTCAAACCTTTGCAATATCATCTCTGTAAACAATGGTAAAGTGTTTCTAAATTCTGTTCAAACAGAACCTGGTTTGGTTAGTGATGGAGGCATCCTCCAGAGATATTTTTATTTAAAATAGTACACCTTTTCCATCACTAATCAAAGATGCCATTGCTTCTCCAAGTGTTGCTTTTCTAGTGATTCGGCCAGAAAAGCAGTGGGTCAATGGTGCCACGTATTATGGCCCATGTGCATTTTGTTAAAGAACAGAGTACGATGTAGGGGATTGTCTATTTGAGTACTGCGCAATTTACTACCAGATGGACCTCTTTGGAAATCAGTCAACACACTTTCATGGATGATAATCCTTGGTGTGTTTCATACTAAAGAAATCTAAATTTATTTGTATATACAGTATTGCGTTTTGTTGTCTGTTGTGAATTCTGTATCTCTATGTAAATTGTGTAGATCTTTGTATGCCCGTTACAGTTGGTCTTAAGTATATAATAAAATCCATTTTATTAGTAATAGCGGTGACCAGTGGACAGCCCTCTTCCCTTTGATCACGTGGTAAACATTTCTGTTTCTTATCCAGTGTGTGTTTGCATGTTACTTTTATTTTTTATTTTTTATTTCAACAATATTTTCCGAGGGTGGTCCATCCAGCCGAAGCTGAACATTAGGGAGCCTCAATACATAACACAAGTAACAAAGGAAATATAAATAGAAAAACAAAGAAATTAAAATGAAAAAATAATAATAAAAACCAAGTAACAAAAGGAAAAGAAATTATTACATATATACGTATTATATAAATAAAATTTAAAATAAAATCACATTGACTATAAAATAATTAAAAGCAGAATAATAAGGCAAAAAAAAAAGAAAAGCAAAAAATAACAAAGTTAAAAATAAAATTAAAAAAATAACACATAGTAACAAAGGAAATATAAATAAACAAAGAAATTAAAATGAAAAAAGGGGAAAAAAACCCTAAACCAAGAAAAGAGAGAGATTAATGTTGACTTACTTATTGTTAGATTGATTGATTGAATTTTTTTCAGTATAAAACTTAAATAACACTCAAAAAAGCTTATTTCAAGTGGGGTACTTGACGATGAAATCCAAGATACAAATACCATAAGCAATCAAACATTTTTGAGGGCCAATGTTCCTATGCAGCCATTTTGGAAAAAAATTACGCTATTTGTAATGATACTAAAAGAAAGAAACAAAAACATGGATCCAGGACTTTTCTGTAAAGAGAGCTCAGTATATATTTTTAAAATTCCTAATTCAGGTAGAAATGTTAGGGACTTTTTAATGAACTCTACCTAAGCGATAGTCGTTCCATTTTTGGTACATTTCCTAGAGGCCAATTATCATTTGGTGAGGTCAACAATTGGATCAGGTTTTTATCAAAATAGACAATCAATAATCAACTGTACCATATAACGCTAGATTATTCCGAATTTTGGATGGTGGTAGGGGGGTTGGTAATACATTCTTCATTTATTGCTTTAATATTTATCCAAAATTTTTTTCAAGCAGGGCACAATTACATGACCAATACTAAACGTATGCAAAAACTGCCTTGGAGAACCCTTGGTAGTGTTTTAATTTTGGTTATCCGTGGAGGACACTTTATATTGTAGCTATTGTTTATATTATGAAATTTTGTAATAAACAGGCTTTTATTTTTACATGGATGATAATTCCATTGCATCATTATGAGATACTGATCAACTACCCTTTACATGACTTATTCTAAAAACTAATTACATGTGATTACTAGTTTTTATTCTCCACAATCTGAAGTACTTAGGAGCAGTTTCATTTGTCATTAGGCAAAAGATTTACAACTTTGTCTCAATTCTGACCCAAAATCTTGGAAGTCCAGAACAAGACTTTTTTGCAAAACATTATTTTTAAAGGTATTTAGCCAAAGAATACAAGTACATTATATTATATAATTTATTAGACACACTATTCTGATTTTTTGGCATACGTGGCAGAACATGTATAAAAGGCATGGCATTGAACGTGTTAATTATCCATTGTCCCTTTCATTATCTATTAGAAACCCTTTCGCTACGTTTGTACCTCATCCATTATATCAACCCTTGCCCTTACCATATTAATGAAGGCAATCTCCCAGCCCTTCATTATCCATGACAACTCTTCCTCTATTATAATGTAAAACACAATCCCTAGTTAATTGTACACAACCATGCTTTCCCATTAATCATTATTAAGAGTGCAAGTGAATCTTTCACTTATATGTTTTCATTAAGTGCAATTCTCATTAAATTTAATCAGTCTAGAGTTCTCTCCGGGTATATTGAAGCTTCATGATGCCATGACGCTTGGTAATTTACCTCTTCTTGTAACGCTTGATAGTTGGCTATGGTGCTAGAACAGGGCCATAGGCACGAGAATTGAAGTGGTCAGGTTGCGAGTGAAGCACGAACACTGATGATTGGGGCTAGGGGCCGCCAAGGGCCCCAGGTCGGGGTTCAGGGTTCCGGGGCCATTAAACCATTAAACTGTAATATTATTGTAAACCATTAAACTGTAATATTATTGTAAACCATTAAACTGTAATATTATCGTAAACCATTAAACTGTAATATTATTGTAAACCATTAAAAAAAAAAAAAACCCAACACTACCTATAAGGAGAAAAGTTTCAGTCACCATGGTGCTAAGTTATGGAACAATCTTACAGATGATGTAAGAACTGCACCAAATGTCAGAACCTTCAAAAAGCTTTTGTAAACT